ACTCGATGAGGGCTACAAAATTAGCAGAGTGAAATCTTGCCGGCAGAATGCTCTGTAAAAAGTGGGCAGACCTGCGTGAAAATACCCATTCTAGGACATCTGTCTTTCATACCTAGCACTTCTTGAACGTCATATAACATGAAACGCCTTCAATGAGACTAGAATACATGCAAAGCAATTGTTTAACTGAAGAAAAACTGGAAACTATAATCACATACTATGATACACCTACATATGAATATTTCTTTATTAATAAGTTAAAGAATATTTTCATAGTTGTTCGGTGTTCTATTGGATTACAATATAAATATTACATCATATGAAGATAGATTTACAAGATATTATATGAACGTTGGAATGAATCATGTTAGAAGAACTTTCACCCTGAAAAATACTTATATTCACCACTAAAACTAGCATATTTTCGCATTTATTAGTGCGAAAAACAGATTTTTTATAGTTTTTGACTTTGCATTTTTTCAGATAAAAAAAGCGAGAGCTCTTATATAGTGCATCTTGTAGAAAATTTAATTCTCTACAAAACCCTATATATGGCCATATTTGGGAATGAATTTTTTCTTTAAGTTTTTTCGTTACAAAGATATGTACTAAAACATAGCCAGTGAATAGGGTGCATGAAAGCACAATATGATAAAAAGTTTAGAAAGACTTCAACATTTTATAGTCAAAATGTAGCTTAAGTCATCAGCTTTCAGAATATATAAGATAGTTGGCACTTTATGTTTTCAGTTGGAAAGATCCTCTAACAACATGATTTTCGAAAAAATCAGGTTTTTGCTATTTTACCTATACAGCCCAACAAATATCATGGTCCATATGTATGTACTTATTAAAGAAATTTCACAAACTGATACGCGGGATTTTCATACCTCAATATGGTCTACAAAAGCTGAAAGTTTCACGGGATTTGGAGAAAGTCGATGTAAACGTGGTTGAGACCCCATGGAAATACCCTTATGAAATATTTTAAGAAAATAAAGTTATATAGTTTACGTATGATTTTCTAAAAAACGCCCCCCCAATCTTTGGATGCTCGGGACACCCCTGCTCATAAAGTATATTTATGTTCTGTGAGATTAAATGATTGTCTGCAGGTGTGGGTGTAGGTTTTCTCTTAGCACATAGGCCACATCCACACTCACACTCTCAAAATGACACCTATGAGGATAATGGACTTTAGAAATAATGTTATTTTTCATTTGATTGAAATCAATTTGTCATCTTCTAATTCTAATCAATGACATTGATTTATTGATAAAATTATGCTTTCAGCTTTGAATCATTTTTTTTTTGACAAATCTTTTTAACATTATCAATAATAATTAAAAGACGATGGAAAATTATTTGATTTTTGTTTTCTTGTCAAATATTTGAAATTTTTTTTTTTTTTTGAAAAAGTTCATCTATATATTAAAAAAGAAAGATAAAGATTTTTTATTTCGTTAATTTTTCTTTTTAAAATATAAATCGATGTTTTTTCTTAGTCTATTTAAAATGTTGTTCATTTGAACGAATTGTCTATGTTGAAGAAATAAAATTTGAGATTAGAATTTCTTATTGAATCAGTATAGTAAAAATGTATAAACAAGTAATGATTCATATTTTTTATAAGACATTTATGGATTTTATTATCTTTGAACTCGTTCTTTTCAAAGAAAGTATCTTTTTCTAATTAATGTCGTTATGTTCTCATTTTAGTTGTTCATTCGGGTTCTGATAACTATGAAGAGACTTATTCAATTTTCTGTCCTGAATTTC